AGAAGTCCCCGTGTGACTGCTGAGGAACTGAGAAAAGATTTGTCAGATGTGGGTACAGAAGTTTCAGCCCAGACAATAAGACGCACACTGCGTAATGAAGGCCTCCGTGCCAGAACTCTCCCAGGCGTACCCCCTTGCTGTCTCCCAAAGAATAAGAAGAGTCGACTGCAGTATGCCAAAAGCCATGTGGACAAACCACAAAAAGTTGTGGGGATAGTGTTCTGTGGACTGATGAAACAAAATTAGAACTGTTTGGGCCCATGGATCAACGCTATGTTTGGAGGAGGAAGAACAAGGCCTATGATGAAAAGAACACCTTGCCTACTGTGAAGCATGGTGGAGGGTCAATCATGCTTTGGGGCTGTTTTGCTTCTGCAGGTACAGGGAAGCTTCAGCGTGTGCAAGGTACCATGAATTCTCTTCAGTACCAGGAGATATTGGATGGAAACGTGATGCAGTCCGTCACACACCTGAGGCTTGGGAGACGTTGGACCTTTCAACAGGACAATGATCCCAAGCATTACCTCCAAGTCCACTAGAGCATGGTTGCAGAGGAAAGGCTGGAACATTTTGGAGTGGCCATCGCAGTCACCAGACTTAAATCGATTGAGAACCCTCTGGTGGGACTTAAAGAAAGCAGTTGCAGTGCGCAAGCCTAAGAATGTGACTGAACTGGAGGCCTTTGCCCATGAAGAATGGGCGAAAGATACCCGTAGATCGCTGCAAGACACTTGTGTCAAGCTATGCTTCACGTTTAAAAAAGCTGTTATAACTGTAAAAGGATGCTGTACTAAGTACTAAGATTGAATGTCACTTTGGGGGTTGAATAAAACTGATAATGCTGTGAGCACAGAAAAGACATTTGTGGTTATTTCATTATAACTGTTATGTTATATTTGTCTGACCTACAAGTGCTCTTTAATGTAAATGTAAGCAAGATGACTGAATGATCAAAAGCAATGTCAAAACTGGCCAAAACACTCAATTTCAGTGGGGGTTGAATAATTTTGGCACACAACTGTATGTCATCCATTATCTGTCATCCATCATTCATCATCCGTCATCAGTCATCATCTTCATCTGTCATCCATCATCCGTCATCTGTCATCTATCATCTGTCATTCATCATCCATCATCTGTCATCCATCATCTGTCATCTATCATCTGTCATCATCATCATTCATCATCTATCATCTGTCATCTATCATCTGTCATCCATCATTCATCATCTATCATTCATTCATCCATCATTCATCATCTGTCATCCATCATCTGTCATTCCACCATTCATCTGTCATCCATAATCTGTTCATCCATCATTCGTCACCTGTAATCTGTCATTTGTCATCATGCCATCCATCAGCTGTCATCCATCATTCATTCACCATGTCATCTGTCATCCATCATTCTTCATCCGTCATCCGTGTCAGCACAGTGGATAAATGGTTAGCACTCCCCCCCTGGCATAGTACTGGGTCATTGGTTTGCATCCCAACCACGGCACCACCTGCCTGGAGTTTGCATGTTCTCACTGTGCCTGCGTGGGGATTTCCCAGGGTACTCCGGTTTCCTCCCACCCACATCCAAAGACATGCTGGGAGGTGAATTGGCTCCTGTCTACATTGTCCCTAGTATGTGTATGTATGAATGTGAGTTAGGAACCTTAGATTGTATGCTCCTCGGGGGCGGGGCCTGATGGGGAATGTACAATATATATGTAAAGGCGCGGAGTACATTGATGGCGATATAGAAGTACCTGAAATAAATAATCTATCACCCATCATCATCTATCACCCATCATCCGTGATCTGTCAGGATCCTAGATCGGGGGGGTGGGGGGGAAGGGGCTGCCAATCAACAACACCAGTTTCTCCTGGATCAGAGATGGATGACAGGATTCTGTAATGGGGGTATCCTGATGTGATGGGGGATCTGACTCTGCGATTTTGGGAGGGATCTGGGGGGTGAGGGCCCTGTTGTGTATGGGGGGCCTTTTTATGTTAGGGGGGATCTGGCTCTGCAATGAGAGAACTCTGTGGTTATAGTGGTAGGTTGGGGCGGTAATTGGCAGGTTGCGGGCGGTATAGGGGTTTAGGTAATTGTGGCAGGTTGGGTGCGGTAGTGATGCAGGTTGGGGCGGTTATATGTAGTGTTGGGGAGTTTTGGGTGGGCGGTATAGAGGCGTAGTATAGTGGCAGGTATGGTGCTTTGGGGAGGTACTAGTGGCAAGTTGGAGGGCGGTGTAGTGGCAGGTATAGTGGCAGGTTGGGGCGTATAGTGGCAGGTTGATGGGTATAGTGGCAGGTTGGGGAGGTATAGTGGCAGGTGGGGCGGAATAGTGGACAGGTTGAGGCGGTATATGGTGGCAGGTTGGTACCTGGCAGGTTGGGGCGGTTTATAGTGGCAGGTTGGGGATCTATAGTGGCAGGTTGGGGCGGTATATTGGCAGGTTAGGAGTATAGTATTCGTGGAGGTTGGGGCGGTCATAGTGGCAGGTTGAGGGAGGGCGAGTATATAGGTAGTGGCAGGGTTGGGGGCGGTGTAGTGGCAGGGGGGCGGTAACAAGTGCAGGTTGGGGCGAGCCAATGGTGGCAGGTTAGGGAGGTTATAGTCCTGGTTGGGCTGAGGTATAGTGGCAGGTATGGGGCGGGATAGTGGCAGGTTGGGGAGGTACTAGTGGCAGGTTGGGCTGTATAATTGGCAAGGATTGTAATGGGGTTTGGTGGGCGGCATAGTGGCCTGGTATAGTGGCAGGGTGGGGCGGTATTTGGGGGGAGGATGGCTCAGGTTTGGGTGGGGTATAGTGGCAGGTTGGGGCAGGTATATCTGTGTGGTCGGGTTAGTGGTCGAGGTATTGGTGGCAGGTTAGTGCAGGGGCGGTAATAGTGGCAGGTTGGGGCGGTATAAGAGGCAGGTTTAGGGCGGAATAGTTGCATAGGTTATAGTGGCAGGTTTGGGGCGGAATAGTGGCAGGTTGGGGCGGTAATAGTGGCAGGTTGGGGCGAGTTGTGAGAATAGTGGCAGGTTTGGGGCGGAATAGTGGCAGGTTGGGGCGGTATAGTGGCAGGTTGGGGCGGAATAGTGGCAGGTTGGGGCGGTATAGTGGCAGGTTGGGGCGGAATAGTGGCAGGTTGGGGAGGTATAGTGGCAGGTTGGGGCGGAATAGTGGCAGGTTAGTTTGGAGGTATAGTGGCAGGTTGGGGCGGTATAGTGGCAGGTTGGGGCGGTATAGTGGCAGGTTGGGGAGGTATAGTGGCAGGTTGGGGCGGTTTAGGAGGCGTATAGTGGCAGGTTGGGGCGGAATAGTGGCAGGTTGGGGAGGTATTAGTGGCAGGTTGGGGGTGGTATAGTGGCAGGTTGGGGAGGTATAGTGGCAGGTTGGGGTGGTTGGGTAGTGGGCAGGTTTGGGGCGGTATAGTGCAGGTTGGGGGGGAAATAGTGGCAGGTTGGGGCGGAATAGTGGCAGTTGGGGAGGTATAGTGGCAGGTTGGGGCGGTATAGTGGCAGGTTGGGGAGGTATAGTGGCAGGTTGGGGTTGGTTTTGGGGGGGAAACAACTTATTTCCGGGGGGGGGGGGGGCAGAGCCCATCCCAGCACCCTCCTAGATCCGGCCATGTTTTTTTCCTGAAGAAGGGATCCAAGACTTCCTGAAGGTTCACATCCATGGAGACCACACGGGCTGTTCCACGGCACACGACATGGGCATTGTCCACCACCCTCACCTTCTGGGTCCCGGCCTGAGAGACCCCCTTCCTGAGAGACCCCCTTCCTGAGAGACCCCCGGCCTGAGAGACCCCCCCACCAGCCCTGAAGACAGAAAGTGGCTGCAAAGAGGTTGCAGGAGATGAAAAGTATTCTCTGAAAACATGGCGGCCGTTTGTGATCCCCGCGGTTCAGCGTCCTCCTCATCCTTCAATCACAGTCTCCATCTCCTCTGCCGCCGGGTTTTTGTTTGGCTCGCGTCGGGGTTTAGAACAGGTACACTTTGAACAAACAAGCCTTTTAATCGATGTCTTTCCCCGGAACGTCCGTCGGGAGCGCGTTGCAGATTTTCAGTCGAGTTTTTATGACTTCACCTCCAAAACATGTTCCAGCGATTTAATTAGTGTGTCACATAAAATATCCCAGAATTCAGCTGGGCTCCCGAGACTTTTAAATCTCCCCGCTAATAAACATACAAAATTCACAGATCACTCGGGGCCCCTGGCTTGCAGCTCCAGAACTTCGACCTTCGGAACCGTGGCCCGTTCTCCGATACCGAACTACAGGAGGAAGAACAAAAAAAAAAAAAGGAAGGCAAATTTTTGTTGTTTTGTTTTGTTTGCTGTAATTTAAAATATATTGAAAATGTAATGAGCGTCAGGATCCGGGACTACCTGGGGGGCCACTAAAAGGTGGCCCTTCTCCTCGGAGAGTTTTATTGGACTTTGTGAGCAGGAACTATATGGGGGGAAAAAAACACAAAGTTCATTCAAAGTTCGATCTCATTAAATAGGCTTCAGATACGCTTATCCCACGAAGTTTATAGATCGAGCGACAAATATATGAACCAGTTCTGGATTCTGACAACCCTGCGAGGTAAAAATGGCCGAGCCGCCGGTGGTCGGGGTCAAAGAATCAAACTGAGAAGAAACGGGAAGCCGTGATATCCATCAAGACCTCACGTGTGTGTGAGAGCACAACCCTGCCACATCCCCATGTTACACGTACGATGTATTGCCCAAAGTATTGGCCCCGCCCTCCCAATCATGTGATTCAGGTGTTCCAATCCTCTCCATATCATGTGATTCAGGTGTTCCAATCCCCTCCATATCATGTGATTCAGGTGTTCCAATCCCCTCCATATCATGTGATTCATGTGTTCCAATCCCCTCCCAATCATGTGATTCAGGTGTTCCCATCCCCTCCATATCATGTGATTCAGGTGGTCCAATCCCCTCCATATCATGTGATTCAGGTGTTCCAATCCCCTCCATATCAATGTGATTCAGGTGGTCCAATCCCCTCCATATCATGTGATTCAGGTGTTCCAATCCCCTCCATATCATGTGATTCAGGTGTTCCAATCCCCTCCTAATCATGTGATTCAGGTGTTCCAATCCCCTCCCAATCATGTGATTCAGGTGTTCCAATCCTCTCCATATCATGTGATTCAGGTGTTCCCATCCCCTCCATATCATGTGACTCAGGTGTTCCAATCCCCTCCATATCATGTGATTCAGGTGTTCCAATCCACTCCATATCATGTGATTCAGGTGTTCCAATCCCCTCCATATCATGTGATTCAGATGTTCCAATCATGTGATTCAGGGGTTTCAATCCCCTCCATATCATGTGATTCAGGTGTTCCGATCCCCCTCCCAATCATGTGATTCAGGTGTTCCAATCCCCTCCCAATCATGTGATTCAGGTGTTCCAATCCCCTCCCAATCATGTGATTCAGGTGTTCCAATCCTCTCCATATCATATGATGCTTGGTGATTCAGATGAGCTCAACAACAGTGCGCAGAGAGCTTCATGGAATGGGTTTCCATGGCCGAGCAGCTGCATCCAAGCCTTCCATCACCAAGTGCAATGCAAAGCGTCGGATGCCGTGGTGTAAAGCACGCCGCCACTGGACTCTAGAGCAGAGGAGACGTGTTCTCTGGAGGGACCAATCACGCTTCTCTGTCTGGCAATCCGATGGACGTGTCTGGGTTTGGCGGTTGCCAGGAGAACGGTACTTGCCTGACTGCATTGTGCCAAGTGTAAAGTTTTGGTGGAGGGGGGATTATGGTGTGGGGTTGTTTTTCAGGGGTTGGGCTTGGCCCCCTAGTTCCAATGAAGGGAACTCTTAAGGTGACATTTTTGGACAATTTCATGCTCCCAACTTTGTGGGAAGAGTTTGGGGATGGTCCCTTCCTGTTCCAACATGACTGCGCACCAGTGCACAAAGCAAGGTCCATAAAGACATGGAGGAGCCAGTTTGGGGTGGAGGAACCCCCAATGTAAGGGACATTCTTCCCACTGACCCCCAATGTAAGGGACATTCTTTCCCACTGACCCCCCAATGTAAGGGACATTCTTCCCACTGACCCCCAATGTAAGGGACATTCTTCCCACTGACCCCCAATGTAAGGGACGTTCTTCCCACTGACCTCCAATGTAAGGGACGTTCTTCCCACTGACCCCCAATGTAAGGGACATTCTTCCCCACTGACCCCAAAATGTAAGGGACATTCTTCCCACTGACCCCAAATGTAAGGGACATTCTTCCCACTGACCCCAAATGTAAGGGACATTCTTCCCACTGACCCCCAAATGTAAGGGACATTCTTCCCACTGACCCCCAATGTAAGGGACATTCTTCCCACTGATCACCAATGTAAGGGACATTCTTCCCACTGATCACCAATGTAAGGGACATTCTTCCCACTGACCCCCAATGTAAGGGACATTCTTCCCACTGACCCCCAATGTAAGGGACATTCTTCCCACTGACCCCCAATGTAAGGGACATTCTTCCCACTGACCCCCAATGTAAGGGACATTCTTCCCACTGACCCCCCAATGTAAGGGACATTTCTTCCCACTGACCCCCAATGTAAGGGACATTCTTCCCACTGATCACCAATGTAAGGGACATTCTTCCCACTGACCCCCCCAATGTAAGGGACATTCTTCCCACTGATCCCCAATGTAAGGGACATTCTTCCCACTGACCCCCAATGTAAGGGACATTCTTCCCACTGACCCCCCCAATGTAAGGGACATTCTTCTCACTGATCACCAATGTAAGGGACATTCTTCCCACTGACCACCAATGTAAGGGACATTCTTCCCACTGATCACCAATGTAAGGGACATTCTTCCCACTGACCCCCAATGTAAGGGACATTCTTCCCACTGACCCCCAATGTAAGGGACATTCTTCCCCACTGACCCCCAAATGTAAGGGACATTCTTCCCACTGACCCCCAATGTAAGGGACATTCTTCCCACTGATCACCAATGTAAGGGACATTCTTCCCACTGACCCCCCAATGTAAGGGACATTCTTCTCGCTGACCCCCCCAATGTAAGGGACATTCTTCCCACTGACCCCCAATGTAAGGGACATTCTTCCCACTGACCCCCCCAATGTAAGGGACATTCTTCCCACTGACCCCCCAATGTAAGGGACATTCTTCCCACTGATCACCAATGTAAGGGACATTCTTCCCACTGACCCCCAATGTAAGGGACATTCTTCCCACTGATCACCAATGTAAGGGACATTCTTCCCACTGACCCCCAATGTAAGGGACATTCTTCCCACTGACCCCCAATGTAAGGGACATTCTTCCCACTGACCCCCCAATGTAAGGGACATTCTTCCCACTGATCACCAATGTAAGGGACATTCTTCCCATGACACCAATGTCTTCCCACTGACCCCCAATGTAAGGGACATTCTTCCCACTGACCCCCAATGTAAAGGGGACATTCTTCCCACTGATCACCAATGTAAGGGACATTCTTCCCACTGACCCCCAATGTAAGGGACATTCTTCCCACTGACCCCCAATGTAAGGGACATTCTTCCCACTGACCCCCAATGTAAGGGACATTCTTCCCACTGACCCCCAATGTAAGGGACATTCTTCCCACTGACCCCCAATGTAAGGGACATTCTTCCCACTGATCACCAATGTAAGGGACATTCTTCCCACTGACCCCCCAATGTAAGGGACATTCTTCTCGCTGACCCCCCAATGTAAGGGACATTCTTCCCACTGACCCCCAATGTAAGGGACATTCTTCCCACTGATCACCAATGTAAGGGACATTCTTCCCACTGACCCCCAATGTAAGGGACATTCTTCCCACTGACCCCCAATGTAGGGGACATTCTTCCCACTGACCCCCAATGTAAGGGACATTCTTCCCACTGACCCCAATGTAAGGGACATTCTTCCCACTGACCCCCAATGTAAGGGACATTCTTCCCACTGATCACCAATGTAAGGGACATTCTTCCCACTGACCCCCAATGTAAGGGACATTCTTCCCACTGACCCCCAATGTAAGGGACATTCTTCCCACTGATCACCAATGTAAGGGACATTCTTCCCACTGACCCCCAATGTAAGGGACATTCTTCCCACTGATCACCAATGTAAGGGACATTCTTCCCACTGACCACCAATGTAAGGGATATTCTTCCCACTGATCACCAATGTAAGGGACATTCTTCCCACTGACCCCCAATGTAAGGGACGTTCTTCCCACTGACCCCCCAATGTAAGTGACATTCTTCCCACTGACCCCCAATGTAAGGGACATTCTTCCCACTGACCCCCAATGTAAGGGGCATTTTTCCCACTGACCCCCCAATGTAAGGGACATTCTTCCCACTGATCACCAATGTAAGGGACATTCTTCCCACTGACCCCCAATGTAAGGGGCATTCTTCCCACTGACCCCCAATGTAAGGGACATTCTTCCCACTGACCTCCAATGTAAGGGACATTTCTTCCCACTGACCCCCAATGTAAGGGACATTCTTCCCACTGACCCCCAATGTAAGGGACATTCTTCCCACTGACCCCCAATGTAAGGGACATTCTTCCCACTGATCACCAATGTAAGGGACATTCTTCCCACTGACCCCCCAATGTAAGGGACATTCTTCCCACTGACCCCCAATGTAAGGGACATTCTTCCCACTGACCCCCAATGATAAGGCTGACATAGACTATCAGACGTAACTCTTGCAGACAGCAGAGGGAGGAGAGTGCAGACAGAAATCACACTCGGTGCTTTGGATTGAGGCAAGTCCACACTATGGAAGGATTTGCTTTGTCCATTTTCATGTCAGATGTTTGCAGCCTCTGTAATGATCAGACGTGTAAAGTTCCTAATGTTCCTCTCTGATGGTTTCCCTTTAATCAGGTACCCGGCACCTGACACGTCACCACGCTGGCTGGGGAACAGTTCAGTACGTGCGCCGCAATCAGCACCCCACATACCTCGCCTCTCCTTCTACCTCCCAATACCCGATTGCAGCATTTTTTCCACCACTAATACACAAACAATTTCCAAGACGATTACCGACCCAACAAAGACTGTCAGAGGGTTTCAGTGATCAGAACAAATCAGATTATCAGGGACCTGATCCCGGATTATTCCCCGGCAGACGCAGTTCCTACACTGGCGTATTCATGGGATTGTGTCGCACTGCGGTCGGGCGGGCACGCCAAGGGCAGATAAGGAGGTGCTGGCATCCTGGCACGACGCCCTCACAATCACATTCCGCTTTAACCCTTTCTGAGCCCAACAGAAAATATCTCCAGTGAAGCAGTTCGTGAATAAGATGTCATGCAAACCCCGCGGCGCAACACGCTAGTTTGTGGTGGACGGTCAGTAACGGTTCACCAACGATCGGCCATGGTCTGAAATGGCGCACGAGTCCCACCAGTAAAAGGACGCTTGAGAATAACTGACGCATTTTGAGGAGCGATTTCTTCATCAATTCTCTGAAGGGAAGATCGAAACGCGTCATCTGAATAAGATGTCATGCAAACCCGCGGCGCAACACGCTAGTTTGTGGTGGACGGTCAGTAACGGTTCACCAACGATCGGCCATGGTCTGAAATGGCGCACGAGTCCCACCAGCAAGAAGATGCTTGAGAAGGTTTAACGCGTTTTGAGGAGCGATCTCTTCAAAGGCTCTGAAGAAGGGAAGATCGAAACGCGTCATCTGAATAAGATGTCATGCAAACCCCGACGACACAACCTGCTAGTTTGTTGTGGAAGGTCAGTAACGGTTCACTGACGATCGTCCATGGCCATGAAATGGCGCCCGAGTCCCACCAGCAAAGGGACGCTTGAGAAGCGATGATGCGTTTCGAGGAGCGATCTCCTCTTCATCAAAGGCTCTAAGGAAGAGAACAAAACGCGTCGTCTGAATAAGATGTCATGCAAACCCCGAGGACGCAACCAGCTACTTTTTTTCGGTCAGTAACGGTTCACCGACGATCGGCCATGGTCTGAAATGGCGCACGAGTCCCACCAGCAAAGGGACACTTGAGAAGCGATGATGCGTTTCGAGGAGCGATCTCCTTTGCATCAAAGGCTCTAAGGAAGAGAACAAAACGCGTCGTCTGAATAAGATGTCATGCAAACCCCGAGGACGCAACCAGCTACTTTGTTCGGTCAGTAACGGTTCACACGACGATCGGCCATGGTCTGAAATGGAGCACGAGTCGCATCTGCAAAAGGATGCTTGAGATTGCTGACACGTTCGAGGAGCGATGTCTTCATCAAAGGCTCTGACGAAGAGGAGATCGAAACGCGTAATCTGAATAAGATGTCATGCAAACCCCGAGAACGCAACCAGCTAGTTTGTTGCTCCTTAAAGTGGACAGTCAGTAACGGTTCACCAACGATCGGCCATGGTCTGAAATGGCGCACGAGTCCCACCAGCAAAAGGACGCTTGAGAAGGACTGACGCGTTTTGAGGAGCAATCTCTTCATCAAAGGCTCTGAAGAGATCGAAATGCGTCATTGGTTCTCAAGCGTCCTTTTGCTTGAGGGACTCGTGCGCCATTTCAGACCATGGACGATCGTCTGCTACATTTTATGATGAAAGTTTTATTGAGGTTGTGTGCAAATCGTCCTTCTTATTGGGCACAGCTGTGTTATTGGTCTGAATGGACAGGTCTCTGAAGATCCTTCCACCAATGCCAGATCCCACCCTATGAGCGCAGGAGGAAAACTTCTTGGGGCTCCTCGTGCACGCGGGGCGTTCTTACAGCGGCTGTTTTTGGCTTTTGACGTTTTTTTCTACAAACCAGTAACCCCCCCCCAGCATGTTCTCCTCGGGGTCCATACACACAGAGACACTTCTGAACGATGGAAACTGACTGCTGGAGACTGGAGGTTAAAAAAACGTCTGTTTAGCCGCATTTCCATAACGCGTTTATGTGCGTTTGCGTTTAGAAGCGGTTTTTAAAGATAAGTACAGGAGAACCTCCCAAATTCCCAGAATGCACTGGTGGTAAAGTGGTAAATTATGAACTATTTCAGACTGTTTCAGAGAGATACAGAGAGTAGAAGCAGAGACAGCAGTATGTGTGGAGATTAGCTGAGGTGTGAGTTGCTTATTAACATATCTTTTTTGTTTCCAAGGGTGGGAGAGGTCTGAGGTGTGAATGGTCATTAACATATCTTTTCTATCCAAGGGTGGGAGAGGTCTGAGGTGTGAATGGTCATTAACATATCTTTTGTTTCCAAGGGTGGGAGAGGTCTGAGGTGTGAATTGGTCATTAACATATCTTTTGTTTCCAAGGGTGGGAGAGGTCTGAGGTGTGAATGGTCATTAACATGTCTTTTGTTTCCAAGGGTGGGAGAGGTCTGAGGTGTGAATGGTCATTAACATATCTTTTGTTTCCAAGAGTGGGAGAGGTCTGAGGTGTGAATGGTCATTAACATATCTTTTCTATCCAAGGGTGGGAGAGGTCTGAGGTGTGAATTGGTCATTAACATATCTTTTGTTTCCAAGGGTGGGAGAGGTCTGAGGTGTGAATGGTCATTAACATGTCTTTTGTTTCCAAGGGTGGGAGAGGTCTGAGGTGTGAATGGTCATTAACATATCTTTTGTTTCCAAGGGTGGGAGAGGTCTGAGGTGTGAATGGTCATTAACATGTCTTTTGTTTCCAAGGGTGGGAGAGGTCTGAGGTGTGAATGGTCATTACAAATCTTTTGTTTCCAAGGGTGGGAGAGGTCTGAGGTGTGAGTTGCTTATTAACATATCTTTTGTTTCTAAGGGTGGGAGAGGTCTGAGGTGTGAGTTGCTTATTAACATATCTTTTCTTTCCAAGGGTGGGAGAGGTCTGAGGTGTGAATTGGTCATTAAAATGTGTGACAAGTTTGGTAGGAACATCCTGTGTTCAGTGTTTTGTCAATTTGAAAACCCTTTTAATGCATTTTTCAGGATGAAAAAAGGACTCTGGACAGCCCTGGCAACTGGAAGAGTTAAAAAAAGAATACGCAAACGCTTATAAACGCGATTTGCCGCATTTAGAAGTGTTTCGCGTTTGAAACGCTGATAAAATCAACTGCTGAATGCAAGTTTTCTGCATTCAAAAAAAACGACTGTAACCTCAAATGCCTGTGAACGCCTGTAAATGACGATGTGTACATGGACCCACGGGAAAACATTAGGGAGGGTTCAGGGGTGCTGAAAAAAAAAAGCTGAAACGGCTCCTAAACGTGAGTTTATCAGCCGCAGTGTGCATGAGCCCTAACGCTGAAAATGTGACAAAATGCAGTAAAACACTGCAAACTGGCGTTTTTGGATGTTTTTATGACCAATTAAAAAAGAAATTCCGTAAAAAAAAAAAAAAAAATAGTAAAAAACATAAACGTGGAAAACGCAGCAAAAATGCCTCTAAACGCTAATGCAAAAACGCTAAAAAAGCCAAAAAACTCGGGTTTTTAACGCGACTTTACACAAGCTACCTTGTCCCCTCCTCCCATGCACATCTCCAGGACTTCTCCAGAGCCTCCCCCATCCTCTGGAACTCTCTACCCCAATTTATCAGACTATCGCCTACTCTGCTCACTATTAGGCGATCTCTGAAAACAGATCTCTTCAGGGAAGCCTATCCCGCCCTCAGCTAATACTGGAATCTTCTATTCCTCCCATCGGTCCACCCACAGTTCCTACCTTTTGTACCACCAGCCCCTCCCTCTTAGATTGTAAGCTCCTAGGATCAGCCCCTCCCTCTTAGATTGTAAGCTCCCAGGATCAGCCCCTCCCTCTTAGATTGTAAGCTCCCAGGATCAGCCCCTCCCCCTCTTAGATTGTAAACTCCCAGGATCAGCCCCTCCCCCTCTTAGATTGTAAGCTCCCAGGATCAGGACCTCCCTCTTAGATTGTAAGCTCCCAGGATCAGCCCCTCCCTCTTAGATTGTAAGCTCCTAGGATCAGCCCCTCCCTCTTAAATTGTAAGCTCCCAGGATCAGCCCCTCCCCCTCTTAGATTGTAAGCTCCCAGGATCAGGCCCCTCCCTCTTAGATTGTAAGCTCCCAGGATCAGCCCCTCCCCCTCTTAGATTGTAAGCTCCCAGGATCAGGACCTCCCTCTTAGATTGTAAGCTCCCAGGATCAGCCCCTCCCTCTTAGATTGTAAACTCCCACGATCAGCCCCTCCCTCTTAGATTGTAAGCTCCCAGGATCAGCCCCTCCCTCTTAGATTGTAAGCTCCCAGGATCAGCCCCTCCCTCTTAGATTGTAAACTCCCAGGATCAGCCCCTCCCTCTTAGTTTGTAAGCTCCCAGGATCAGCCCCTCCCTCTTAGATTGTAAGCTCCCAGGATCAGCCCCTCCCTCTTAGATTGTAAGCTCCCGGGATCAGCCCCTCCCTCCTAGATTGTAAACTCCCACGATCAGCCCCTCCCTCTTAGATTGTAAGCTCCTGGAATCAGCCCCTCCCTCTTAGATTGTAAGCTCCCTGGATCAGGCCCCTCCCTCTTAGATTGTAAGCTCCCGGGATCAGGGCCCTCCCTCTTAGATTGTAAGCTCCCAGGATCAGCCCCTCCCTCTTAGATTGTAAACTCCCAGGATCAGGCCCTCCCTCTTAGATTGTAAACTCCCAGGATCAGGGCCCTCCCTCTTAGATTGTA